ACATACCACATGCAGTAATGTATAAAAATCAGCCTGCTGGCTAAAGCTCCTGCCTAGGGAGTGTTCCCAGGACCACCGTTTTTCTACTTACGCCATCTGCTGCTGCCTCCTTTTATTCCCCTCGAGCTCAGACTCCCTAATACTGTCCTCTAACTTTCAGGATCCCCCTCTCACACATCTTCCTGTTCAGAGTCCCTTCTGCATTTCACTAACATATTTTCCATCCAGCATCTGACTACTTCAATGCTTAAATTATTTGAAGCTTAGGTAAGTGATGTCCCTTCTACCTGCACAAGCAAGCCCAGCTTGCTACCCAGTATCTCCACAAAGAAAGGAGATTTTGGATAAAATAGGAAGGCAAACCTCACAGCTCAGAGATGTCTACCCCAAGTCTTAAAGGACCTCTAGCCTATATGCAAGCTGACATGTATAGTTCATAATACAAGAAAGAATTCTTTACAGTTATAGTTATCTTAAGTTTATGAAGCCAAAAATCTAGACGCTAGGAAGCCTTTAGATAGACTGATGAGTAACCTGCAAACATTTAGGCATTTAAGAGGTAGAAACACCCTGTATTCTGAAAAAGAACTTTGTGGTCTAGTTACATGTGCCTCCATTAGTGCAGGGTATTTTTCCAGTTAGATCATGGGCCTTGTTCTGTATAACAATTATAGAAATTATAGGCTTGGGCTGAAAACATGGAGCACCGAGTTTCCTATTTCAAATATAAGTAATAATAAAATTTATTATTTTATTAGCATCCATAATAAAATTCATTATTTTATTAGCATCTCCTAGAAAACTACAGCATATATTTGTGTATTGATTGTAGATCTATATGCCTTTTGAAACTTCCTTGGAAAGGAACATATATGCATGTGTGTATACATACAGATATGATCCAGTAGGTAAATGACTGTATAGACTTTATGTTTAAGATTTGAGAGATTTGTGAGTTTTAGTAGAAGTCTTATTTGAAATAATGGAATTAATGTTGAACACTTAAACCAAAATGCAGAGACTGAAAAATGCAACATGTGGTTAGAATAGTGTTCTGGATGTTCTCCTGCCTTTTCCACACTTTCCCAAAGAGAAAGTAGACATGCAAGATGCTGCCGCACAATCTTCGTACCAGGATTCCTTCAGGATCTACTGTTATGTAGAAAAGGAAAGCAGAAAATGGATTCTCAGATTCCCACTTCTCATATTTTGACACTTACCTTTTAACACAATTTGTATGTGTTGAATTTGTTTATGCCTCACCTTGTTCTAGAAAAACATGAAAATATAAAGTTCCACACAACTTTAAGACTCCAAGTAAAATAAGCAATAAATAAGGTTGGGGGGGAAAAATAAAACCAGGAATGATGCACAACGCAAAGACCTGTATGCTTAGTCTGAGTGGGGGACACATTTGCTCTGGTTTTCCAGCAGCCAACATAGAAAGAGAAACCTGGTTACAATGTCACAAAATACAGTTGCTCAGAATTACTATTTTCTTTTCTTTTTTGACATAGGAACAGTCAGAGATTTTTCCCCAGGGTTTTTGTAGATGATATGATTTATAGTAAGCTGTGTCCAACAACATTCTTACTATACATAATAGAGACTTTTATGGCAGATTCTTACAGTGCTCTTGAATGTAGGTGATGGCATCATACCAAAATTCATCTAATAAAATATTTTGGTGTGGGCTAGTTCTAAATGCATGAACTTTGAAGGGCTGAGATGTTCGCCCATGTGCTAGCTAACACGACAGTTCATAGTCACTGACTTCAAGATGCAAGACTTTTGGGTCAACGACAAAAGATGGCTTATTTACTCACAGTAATAGAAGTAGCTGAATTTTCCTATCTATTCCAGGAGTCCCATTTCACACAGGGCCACACGAAGAGGTACAGCTGATACTTCAACATGCCATAGGTTATTACAAGAGAGGAACCCAGAGTCCTGGGAGCTCAAATCTTTGATAACAGGATGTAGCAGTGGTCCCTCTACCTCAGAGAGAGATGCTACTTTTATTACGTGGGACAGTAAACAAACTTCTGTCTGCCAAGGCTGCTTGCTGTGCAAACATCCTAGTAAAGACAATCTCTAATACAGCAAATCAGTGCCTCTGCTCATAAGATGTGCAGAAACACGAGGGAATGTGGAAAATTGTCTGGCAACAACTAGTTCCAGGTCATCAAGCCCACTCTGGCTTGATTCAAAACTAAACTTTAGGCTCTCTGGAGAAACTGATGGATTGTGCTTTATTTAACATTTATTCATCAGATACTCATTGCATTCTTATAATAATAGTCTAGGCACTGGGAATAACTATAAACAAAACAAATGTAGTCCCTGCCTTTACAGGAAAAAAATCCAAATGTAAAGTGTTTTTCCAGTAGTTCTTCCTAAATGTTCTTGAACAAAAATTTTCTGAAAAACAGTTTATTCTTTAGAACAGTTTTCTGCTGACAGCAAAATTGGCCGGATACCAAGATTTTCCATATATCCCCTGCCCCACACATGCAGGGGCAGACAATATACCCATATACCAACATTCCACAGGAGTGGTGTATTAAGACTGATGAATCTCTACTGACACATTGATATCATCTAGAGTCCAGGCTTTACATGAACGTTTGCACCCCTTCTATAGGTTTGAACAAATGTTTAAAACAAGGTTTCTCAAAAAATTGGTGACCGTTAATTTAGTTCTAAAATCTCACAAATATGAGGAATTTTGAATTTTATATTCCCAGATAAATGTAGACACAAATGCCTGAATAGGCATTTGAACCAGGGTTTCATGATAGCCTAAGAAACTTAACAGAGATGTGCAAGTAACTATATAGTCATCATCTGCAATGTCATGGGTCAGAGGTAATTCTTCCTTGAAAAATGATCATAAATCTTTTAGTGATTAAATTCCCAAAGTCCAGCAGTTTTATTCCATGTCGCAAGGCACTTGTAGCTCTTCTGGAGTACTTGTTTACCTTCTGCTTGGGCTGTGACGGACACACCAGAAAACTTTTTGTCCATTAAGAAGATGAAATGCCTCCTTCCTCTGACTTAGTCTGTTTCTCTAGGATGTGCCTCTTCCCTGCTCTGAGGACAATTCTGGTACTTTCAGTGTCTTTACTGAAAGCTCATTGCTATCTCAGGTAACAATCATATTTTTCTGACAAAATGACCAAAGATTGGCCCCCTATTATTTAGCCTCCAATCAGTTCCAAACTGCAAAATAAAACATAGACTGGACTTAGCTGGTCAGCTCAGCCAGCAGAGGCTGATTGCCGAATTCCATTACCTCAGGCCGGCCCCTGACACTGTTTTGAAGAACCACCTTCTTTTCAATATTTATGCTGTTTCCCCCTCCCCTCACAAAACTCGTCACTTCTTGCTAGTACAGTGGCCTCACGGCTTCACTTGATGGCAATGACTTATAGAGGCAGAGTCAGCGTGCCAGCTGGAATGAACTTCCAAACTCGGGGTTGAGAGAGCTGCTTATTCAAGTGAAAAATTAGAGATGAAAAAGACCTGTTAAATAACCCAATCCCTTCCGTAGTGAGTGCCAGAGCATTCCTATGGTGAGAGCTAGATCAGCCAACTCCAAATGACTTTAACAATGTGCCTTCTCACGCTTTATTCGAAAGATGGGGCTGTCTCTTCAATTTTGCTTTTGGTAAGTTTTTTGACTAGAATTTCGATTGACCAGAGTTATTTCATTTCCCTCTTACTGTTTTGGTTCAACTACAGCAACCCATGTAGTAAATTATTTTCAAAGAGTCATTACAGATGTACAGACAACATTTACAGGACTTTATCGGTCATTTCAGCAATGCCTAGATTTGGGGCCAGTGAGGCAGGGGGAGTGAGGATATACTTGGGCTTTAGAGGTAGGTGTGCCCAGGTTGGAATCCCAGTTCTGCTTCACTGGGGCATTTGTAACTGTCATTATTGTTGACACTGTGCTAAATACTGCCCCAAAATATATTTAGCAAATGTGTGAAATTGGTACTATCATCTTCATTTTAGTATTTAAGGTAAGAATGGAGGCTCTGGAGTTCAATTGCCTGGTTCAAATGCCAACTCTGCTGCTTACTAGCATTTTGACCTAGGGACTTTCACTTAAGCCCTGTGGAATGTAAATGGGGGTGATAATCATGCCTGCCTCCTAGGTTATTTTGAGAAATGATAGATCAGATCAGTGCCTAGTATGAAACATGTATTTAAATGTAATCAATTTTGATGAAATTTTGATGGAGTTTTTTTTCAAGGGCGCAGGGTATCCAAATTGAAACCCTAGTCACTTCTGCTCCAGTACTCACCTAAATTATTAACCATTAGAATACGTGGATTTGTTCAGGAAACTTATTCCGAGTCTCAGTTTTTCTCCCTGATAAAATTGGGATAATGGTATATCTCCTGTATAGCTATTGTGAAGATTAAAATGCAGTAAAGTAGGTAAAGAGACTATTATAGGCTGCCCCAGAGCTGGGGTTTTATTAGTGATGATTTGTCTATATCTTACATTCATATGTATGGACGACTGACTGGTATGGTGTGTGTATGTGTGTGTGTGTGTGTGTGTACACACACTCATAAAAGTTTCCTCTAATATTGGAACTACAGAATGGTTCAAAATGTATTTTTATGAGTTTACTCCCATTTAAAAGAATTGGATTCAATTACTAGATAATTAAAAACAGTTTCCTTTCTAATACAATTTTACTTTATATTTTTAATATTTCAGTGTTTTGAAGTATATCTTTTCTGGATTTTTAGAAATAGTCTCATCCAGTGTTTCAAAATTGCCTAAATACTTTTTCTTTCACAGAAACAGATTGACCGTAATTTAATTTTTATGTCACAAAGGGAAGAGTAGACAGTTACAGCTTAGCAGAGGGAAATGTGATGATATGTTTTTACTGTGTGCCTTTTTTTACGGTATGTGTGGGAAAGGGTGTGATGTCATTTTGTCTCCACCCCCTGTGAGTAAGCCCACGGCACAGCTAAGTGCAGCCGCCCGCCTCTGTCACTGGGAGACAGTCCACTTAAATGCAGCTCCAGGGTTGCGGGACATCCACGAGCATCACTCCCTGGGCGAGGTGGCAAATGCAACATGCTCTCCAGCTTGGGGTGTCTACTTCTCTGTGGAAGTATTGCACTAGCCCTGGGAAATGCACAGAAATTGCCAAAAGGCAAGTAGCTCTGATGTTTTGTGTTTTTTTAAAATAATTTTTAAGAGATAGTTTTTAAATGTTGATATAATATATGATCTGTTTTTACCATGTGGGGGAATAGAGATATGTTGCAGAGTCAAAGTTCAAATGTGTGAAAGAGTTGCTTAAACTTGTACTTTTTTTCCCTTCTGTTATTTACATTGCACTTGGAGCTCTTAATTGCAAAAGTGAAAACCTACTTCTTACTGGGTTTAGCAGACGTTCACAGTAATTTGAATGGCATAGCTTTAAACTATGTTATTTGTTTATTGAATCATTTGTTTATTGAATCAAATGGGTATTATCTGTTAAAAATAGATTTTGGTCTTTTTAATCCACTTTCCCCAAGCCTAAATGAATACTAGTTTAAGGCTGTGAAGGAGCTAATTCTGAAACCTGGAGCCTTTGGTGTAAACCTCACACATACCTTTCAACTTGGAGGTTGAGGGATTTTTGGCAGCGACACCAAAGTAGGGTCATGTGCTAGTTCGTAGACACGTCTCTCCAGTGGAGTTTGGGAGAAGGTTTAATCTACTGGACTGGACACTCCCCCTTTTCCTGGCTAAACTGCTTTCATTTTAGTGTTGGTATTTGGTTTACAAATGTCTTTAGAAGAAAATTAAAATTTCTAAATTTAGATCCTCCACATAATCTCTTGACCCCATCAGCACAAAAACAAGAATTTACTTCTCTCTCCTTGAACACATATGTGGTATGAGCTTTTCTGTTCCTTTGCAGAGACGTTTTCCAAGCCAACTCCAGGTCTATAAAGGTTTTTTATAGTTGCGGACTGCTGTAGTCAGCAGGATTATAAAAAAATGGGCTGGAACTTACCATATAGTTATGCCAGAAAATGTTGGCGGTAATGGACTTGTCAGAAACTGGGTGTGCACAGTCAGGAAGAAAGGTTGGGGTGTCAGAATACCCCAAAGAGCCTTCCTAGTTCTCTCTTGGGAGGATTTGCTGCAGGGTCATCTTGTACCAAGTGAAAAATGTTCTCTCCTCTGTGTGTTGAGTGAAACTTGAACCCAAAGTGTGAAGGCTGAAGAGTCTGACTTGTTGATGTTTCACAGATATAAAAAAGCAATAAAAAGGGCTAAAGAAGCCTTATCAACTCTGATCAGATAATTATGCGGAGAAAACTAAAAATTAGCACATGCTCTTAGATCTTTTTCTTCTATCAAGAATTTTCTTCGTGATCACAGTACAATTACTTCAATAAATCACAAGCCACAAATATTCAGAATCAATTGTTCCTGCTGCCTGCTGCTGAAATATGGACACATCATTCGAGAGAAGTCTGGGGTTTTCTCAGGCCTTCTGAGAAATAATGCCTTTAGATGGTTATGTTTTACCTGTATTCGCTATGCAAGGATGATAGCCATAATTTTCTTACTGCAAACTTCTACAAATTCTAACCATTTTAATTATCATGTTGCAGCACTGGATATAAATCTCTTGACACAATTTTCCCTTGTTCTGGTAAAAACAAAAACAAGTTGTCAATAGTGGTCACAAAATATTTCTCTAGTTCATTATACTTTCTTGTAAAGTGTTTGGATCTAGGGTTTTTTTTTTTATAATTTTAACAAATATCCATTGTTGTTGTAGGGAAAATATCAAATTAAAATAATTATTTCATCAAAATAAATGGTAATTCCTCTTGTCTCTAATGCTTTTTATTCCTTATTGTGGTAACTATTGAGCAACTCCTTTTAGCTGAAGTTGCTTTTCTTAAAATATATTCCAGAAATACATATACTATCCTCAAAAAGGAGTTGGGGCAAACATCTGCTCCCCATCAGTAATTTGGGGAACTTCATGTTTTGCCTATTTTGGGAGTGTCACAGCAGACCTTAGAATTTTTCAGGTTCTGAAAGTTTCTCTATGAAGAAATCTGTCCAACTTTTTAAACCTCTGGTTTCCCACGCTTATTTGACTAAGGAACATTTTCCTAGTGGACTACGTTGCTAAGGGCTTGTCTTTCATAGAACACATTTGGGGAATTGCTGAGCTAAATAAGAAGGAATAAATGAAGTTTTCCTTTTCTTCTTTCCTCCTACATTAGAGTTAAATAGCATTTGTCATTAAAAGGAATTGTGGTGATGGATCATGGGTACTGTGGTGGTGGGGGGGGAACTATGGGGCCGCACCTGAGGGGAGAAACCAAAAATGAACAATGATGTAAGAAAATAAAGTAAAATAATTTTTATTTTATAATAATTAATAAAATGAAGAAATCTATAGAATAACTAAGAGGCACATAAAAACAAACTTAGGGCCTTCCCGGTGGGGCAGCGGGTTGAGCGCTGTGCTGGGAAGCTGTCCGCAGCCTCTGCAGCGCTGACTGGATTCGGCCAGCCAGGGAGAAACCCACGTGGTGCGGCAGACCTCTCCTGCCTTGTCATCTGCTGTTCCCCTCAGCAGTGTCTTTGGTCCATCTGCCTGTTCTGCTCCCTGCTCTCTCTGGTGAAGTCTCTCACCCTCCCGCTCCTCTGACCTGTACCCCAGTTCTTGTATAAATAAATAAATCTTTAAAATGCACATAAAAACAAACTTAAAAACTAACCCTTGACCGCTGACTGAAGACCTGAAGCACCAAGATGGGGAGGGGTGAGAAGTGAGGGGCAAGCACAGAGGGAGGGAATCACAATGGACTGGGAAGGTGGACAATGGGTGATTTGATGGTGGGTGCACTAAGGTGGCCTGATGGAGGTGTCCTAATATTAGCTAAAGGGAAAATAAATTTAAAAATAAAATAAAATGAAGAGTTCACCAAGTGGAAAATAAAAGAGGATAGAATTTGGAACTCTGGAATGGATATTAGTTAAGTGGTTCCCAGATCCTTGTATTTATGGACCAGATATCTCTTTCTTAATATCAGGGTTCCATTGTAAGGGCATGCTTGAATTTACCATGTGAGGATGTTCAAAGGGAGAAAAAAATTCCCATTGTTTATAAATTCTAGCCACTTTAACAGCTTAGATTTTAACATTTTATAAAGTGAGTTTACATAGCTAGTTTCACTGTTTTTATTTTCTCATTTGATCACAGACTGATGAAAACATCACAGGTCAATATTTGGGAACCACTGATATAACTTAACCACTTATTTTACAAATTGAGAAACCCAAAGGCAGGGAGGTTTAGTAACTCACCCACATTTATTGCAGAACCAGGACTGGATTCTGGACTTCTCACTTGAAATCCTGTTCAACCCCTTTTCCTGAACTGTGAACAGATATTCCTAGCCCAAATCCCAGCAGTCAAGGTCTGTAGTGTATGTGTGAATGCTACCCTTTTCTTGAGTTACTTATGAAAGTCTTAAGCATCATTTTAATCATCACATTTTCCCAAGAACATACCCATTATGTGCACTTCAGTGTATGTATGTATAGTTAGCTGTGTGTGTATATATTTATATTTATATATACATATAGTTGGCTATTAAAGGACTAATTACTTCTAAAATAAGTAACTTGGTACCTGTCTACTGACTATTTGCATACCTGGTTACACACTTTGTTAAAGAAAGTAAGACTATTGGAACAATCTCCCTTTTTTTTTTTTTTAAGATTTATTTATGTATACAAGAGCTGGGGTACAGGCCAGAGGTATGTGGGGGGGGTGAGAGGATTCACCAGAGACAGAGTGGGGAACGGAACAGGCAGAATGACTGAAGTACACTGCTGAGGGGAGTGGCAGGTGAGTCAGGAGAGGTCTTCTGTGCCATGTGGATTGCTCCCTGGTGAGCTGGGGATCGAACTTGTGCTGCAGAGGCTGTGGATTGCTTCATAGGTTGCGTCTTAACCCCTTGCGCCACCAAGGAGGCCCCAATCTCCCTTTTTAAAAGCCTAAAGTTGCAGATGATTATTAATGGCTCTCTTCTCTCTCTCTCTTAATCTGACTGTTCTTTGGCAAATAATTTAATTTATATAATATAATAATGATTACTATCTCATTTACTTTTAGATTAAATGAGATAAAAGATGTAAAACTTTTAGTAAAGCGTCTGCCATATAAAAGGTATCTAGTAAATGTTTATTGGGTCACAGAAAAGTGGATATTTTAAAAATAGGCATGCCAAATAACATGTGATCTTATGTCCAAACCATCACACAAACTTCTCAGAGGATAGCAAATGAGGTGGCATGTCCTGGTCAGAAAGGTTGGCAAGCATTGCTCTCCAGGTTGACAGAGGGCTCTACTGTGTCCTCACTATTGTCAACCTGCAAGATCAAACATTGCTTTTTATCTTGGAAAGCTGCACATTGGCCTGAGGATCATATTTTCCTTGGGGTTTGGTAAAAACCTCATTGAGCCTGCAAAAGAGAGCCTCTTAAACTTGTTTTTTAGGAGGAGAATTAGGCTGTAACACACAAGCCCTAGAGAAGAATTACCACATTGTTTTACACCTATGAAAGCCCTGGTGCTGGAGCTACCTCTCAGAATCTTTACTCTTGGCACCAGATAACTTTTCTTTTTTTCCTGGCATACAGGCTAAAATCAAAACCACAGGGAACAATCTGTAGTGAAGGGAGCCAACAAAGCTCATAATGAAAGCTTATAATGGGACAGGAGGGGCTTGATGGGCCTCTCTGTAGAAGTGCCTCTGTAGGGAAGATTGTAATCAGCCAGAAGGCAAAGGCTACTATTTCTAGGCAACTTTATCAGCCCTCCTGAGACGTGTGTGAGGAAAACCACAGAGGAACATTCAAGATACTAGTGTAATTAGATGGCCTAAGGGCATGAGGCTCTTGGGTGTAATTCTTGGCTTACATAGAGAAAAAAGACAGCTGGTTCTTTGCCTCAGATTCTTACCTGGCAGGGAAGAAAATCTGACTCCAAGAACCAAAAACTTAGGGGCAGATGATAATAATAGCAATAACTCTGATAGGTATTAATAACTTATTATCATAGATCACATTCTTTGAGCTCATATTGCTTGTGGTACTTTAGGGCTAAATAGTTGGGTTTTT